ATTTGACCGTGATGGTTAAATGGTTGGAAGACTGGCATGCTGGTAAATTAGCCAACTGGCTGACTCAGTGACAGGTTGAATGACTGGTTGGTTCACTTGCTGGCTGTTAGCTGAATGGCTGGTGGTTTGGCTGCCTGGCTTACTGACACTTAGCCAGAATGGGGCTACCACATTGGCTTAGGGGGCTCTGAATCAATTTCGGACCTGCATGCAAGGCTGGTTTTCCTATGAAGCAATATATTTTATCTTGTGGCATATAGGGTAGTAGTGGGTACTAACCCATCTGTCAATAGCCTGACTGCATCTTACCTGACTGACTACTTGACTGAATGTAACACGGCATTATTATGACAAGAGCTATAAATAACAAGGGAGGGAGTCGGTATTAGGCTTGACACCATCACCTCATCTTGTCAAACTGGAGAGAAGTAAGTAAGGAATTATTAAAAAAACAAAAAACTGGAGAGAAGAAATAATGGTGGGGAAATGATGACATAAGATTTCAAGAGGTACTGACAAAATAAACAAAGAAGCTTAAGGCAACGAGATGAGGTTACTGTATAATATTCTCTACAAAAATATTGTCATTATTGTTGGTATGTATCTCTCTCTCTCTCCAGCCTGATTACATCTCCATTTGACTTGGTCCAGTTCCTAGACTGTCTTGCCCTTAGGCTCCTCCTATTGCACATTTCCCAGATACTCTCTCACTCATGTAAGTCCACTGCTGTACTGTAGTCTACTTTCCTTTCCCAGACATTTTTCTTATGGGCATTGCTTTTGTATTTATTTTAATGGTCTGTTACTGTGTCATTTTTCATACTTTATATATTTTATTATTTGAAAAAAATTGTATCAAGGTGCCACTTATTGTATTTTAATGTGCATTATTTTAATACAGTATACAGTACAGTATTTAATGTGTATTGTATTTGGATACAGTATTCCTTGAACTATGAGACTCGTATTCTGTTTATGTTCCTAGAAAGTGCACCAGTTCTGAAGATTGCATGCATTAGCCACTACAAATAATACCAAAACATTTAGCATCACAGTTATCAACAAGATATTAGTGTGGCAGAGGCCAAGCAACACTACTACAAGACACACCATCAGCACTCCTACAGCAGTAACATGGAGGTCTACTTCACCACATCACGTACCTTCCCGCCAAACACACGTCAAAACTACAACGTTGCTACAATGTTTGAACACATTTGAACACCTAACAATTGTAACAACCAATATAGCAAGTTGTAACAACGTTCTAATATGTCTTAAAAATGTTGTAATAAAGTTGTTACATCTTGTTATAAGTTGTAACAAGGGAATCATAGGGGCCGTTACGTTGTGTGTTTGCAGGGTCTGCTTCTTCCTCAACCACATTTCTACTTTACATAAACATCTAATACATCAATATACTTTCCATGAAAATTCTCCTGATCTAATTTTTGAGTAAAAATTAATAAGAAAAACTTCATGAAACACATCACATGCCAATGAAAACTCTAGTACTGAAATTTATGTTTCATAATAATACTATTTAAAAATAGACCTTGGTCACTGCACAACAAACTCTTAGCAGAAAATTAAATTCAGGCATCTATGCGAAAATTTTAAGATGCCACTGTGATGGTACGTCTGTTTGACATGTGCTGTTCTATAATATGAGGAAGCACTACGCAGAACTTATATTATAAGTTGCTACTACAGCTAGGTAACACATCTTGTTTACCTGAGCTATCTGTTGTAAGGCCGAGTAAGGAGGATGCATTAAGGGAAATTTAATACAATAATCGTGAAATTTGTTAATATTCATCTTCAACAATTGTGATTGAAAACAATTCAAAATGCACACTCTCATTACCTAATGTCTGGATATGAATAGTTGACAAATTCATCAGACATAAACTTAGACATTTGAGCAAACCATCTTAGATGATATGTGTTTTGTATTTATAAGAATTAACAATAAATAGGTATTCTAACTAATATTTATTTACAGTGAGTTTTCTCTTATATTGTTTTAAAACAATAAAATCACAAGTAATTAATTTTCTTAAATGTTACTGAAAGTTATATAAACTGATGCACAAAATATATACGACTAAACTACTGCATCATCAAATGCTAATTTGCTTTATGTTGTAAGGCTTCTAGTTGCATAAGGTTTATAAATGAAATGAAATTCTTACACTGAAAAACAAATGATAATAGAGTAAGAACTCTAATCAATGAAAGTAAAAGATGCCTGCACAAACTGTAATAATTATCTGAACATAAACAAAAAGGAAGGTAACAATGTGTCTGTCTGCAGCATACGGAAGTCTCTGAATCAACATGTGAACTTGTTTCTGAATATAGCCAGTTCCTTCACGAAAGAATCTGCTGTGTCGTAGATAGGACTCAGGAACAGGCAGGATGGAATTCGAATAATGGGGCTGTGGAAACCTTTACAAACACCACTATAAGGTCATATAGTGTTTGGTTTGCACTGGAGAAAAACTCAATTCAATATGGATTGAGCATGACAGTTAGTGCCATATGGCTAAAACCCCTAAAAAAATTCTCACTTTGTATCACAAGTGATGTTTGAAAATGATTTATTCACCTACCCGAGTAAACGGGTACTATATGACCACTATAAGGTCATATAGTGTTTGGTTTACATTGGAGAAAAACTCAATTCAATATGGATTGAGCATGACAGTTAGTGCCATATGGCTAAAACCCCTAAAAAATTCTCACTTTGTATCACAAGTGATGTTTGAAAATGATTTATTCACCTACCCGAGTAAACAGGAGGCAGCACCAACATCTGCCAAAGATTCCCATTCCAAAAGTGTCACATTCTTCTTGATGTAAATACAAAACCTCTCCACAGAGGAGAACAATCAAATAAGTGGGATCATGACTTACCAACCGACTGCTTTGAAAAGTGCTTCTACGAAATCTCAGCCATGTTTTTAAGCTATCACATTCAATTGCTCCTTAGGGTAAGCCTTGGAAACACTCACCACAAAAAATCAAGAACACATAATAATTAACTACACAGGATAAGGTGATACAACCTGTGACACAGAGTTGTGGCAAAAGAAATGGGATGAAGTGCACCAACACCACAACCTCAAAGTCATCATGAGCATAAACACACTTATGTGACACACCAGTAGTAAATGCTGGGAAATTTGGGCATTTGCTGTTGAGTTAATACTTTATTGACATGCCAAAACCTCCCTTGTTTGAACCACTAAGCAAGGTATTGCCGAGAGGATGCCTCGTGATTGGAAATTTTATGCAAATCGTGAAGCTGAAATAAGCATTGGATTGATTAGGCTTCTCCACCTTATGCAGTATGAAGCATCGATGCCTTTGAGCATGGACCCAGGGTATGTGGGTTGATAAAAAATAATTCCGATGGCACATGAAAAGTGGCAGTCATGTATAGACGAAGAGATCACAATGATCTCTAAAACTATTGAACAAAGCCTTAATGAGGATGGGACCCCAATTAACCAAGAGTGTATCATTCTTGGCAAGGAAGAGCAAACTAGGACTGAATCACAATGGAGCAAGATAAAAAGATACTGTTAAGGGAAAGATTACAGTGGAAGGAGACAAAATCTCTCTCTGATGAGAGGATATCAAGGACTCTATCAAAAGACCAGATATACTACAAAGAAACAATAGTAAGACAAAATAAAAGATTATTTCAATAAGTTTTAGGAAAGCTAGGTGTATAATCTCCTTGAGCACCTAGTCATATTAGGCAATTGTATTAGGCAGAAGCTTTCTTTCTTCAAACCACTTCAGAAACAGAATCTCTGAACAAGTCATAGCAAGGAAGAGAGTAATCAAAGTTATATACAGTCAGAGAGCATGGATACAAGGGTTAAGCTAGTGGTGCAAATGCTTATGATTTCATATTAGAAGCCAAGGAACAGCCTTATTTACAGCAGAAGCCCAAGGGGTTGGAAGAAATCTGCATAAAGCTGCTATTGACTTTTAGGTGTGGGGGGAACACCCACACAATAAACCCAGCCCAAGAATGACAACCAAGACTGCAGCTGCAAAAACCTATCATCCTGTCCAAAAAAGTCAACACAAAGAGGAAGATCCAGATACCATTCTCCAGCAAAGAGTCAACCCCAAAACCTACCAGAGTACAACAACTCCAGTGATCTAAGACATTTGTAATGGAGAATGTGGAGGGGAAAAGATGTAAAAATACACAACTAGCCAAAAATATATAAAAAATGACAAATGCTGGCTAAACTAAATCAACAGGGAAACCACATCCAAGGGAGCAATTTGCCTACCAGACTCCTCTACCTCAGGTAGGAGGTACCCTGAGGAAGAGTAAAAACCTTAAGCCTGAACCATACCATCTATGTTACTGGATGAAAAGATGCCTGAGCATCTGTAATTACCTAAGTGTAGTTACAGGAAGAGAGCTATGCTCGTGGTGTCCCGTCTTCCAGCACTCTGTCATATATATAACACTTGGAAGCTATTGATGGCTTTGTCTCCACCACCTTCTCATTTAACTTATTCCAACCATCATGAGCACCATCAACCACTCATCCTAAGGAAGAAGGGGTGAGAGTGGGATAGACAGGAGGAAAACCATCCAAACAGACTACTGACCTGCCCCCCAAACTGCATATGAAGGCAAGATGTGTGACAAAGAATTCCAATGCTTCATCCTACAAGACTTGTGCAAGCATTTTGCGAAAAGGCTGGACAACTGCAACTGCAGAACAGAAGGCAGGCCCGAAGCAAAAACCAATCAGCTTCACCTGAAGCTGGAAGATAAAGATCTCCTGGGACACTACCAGCAGAAAGATACCCACCAAGGTGTTCATACGTCTTCAAATCTGCTGCAACGAGGTTTGAAAAACCTGGACGGGCAACTGCCAGTTTGCTATCTCTCGATGGATAATAGAAGCACTTATGAGCAGTAGAACAGATGCCAATTTCCAAAAGACAAAATAACATTGTCAGTTACCCAAAAGAAAGCATAGAATCTTTACTATAACCATGAAGAAGACAGTGATCTGAACTCCAAGACTGTCATCCTTCACAGAATCACTGATCATCACACATGAAGCAAAAATATACAGTATAGGCCACTGTGCACATAAAGAAAGTTTCAATGGATGAAAACAATTCACTAAACTTAAGATATATCTTTGCATATTGACTGAACAGGGACTCGGGCAGAAAGAATGTGACATGATCTGAATAAGGGAACCCTGGACAGGCATCGGTGCTGCTACTTGTTGGTACGTGGCTGTTTTGAAGCCTTATTTGAGTCACTTGATATAGCAAGTAAGGATTCAGTAAATATTTGAGTCTTTATGGAACTTCCTCTGACAGTCTTCTGGGCTGGATTGAGGTTTTCTCTAGTGCATCTCTAGGATTTTATATGATCCTGTTGGAAAGTCTGAAAAGGCCCCGACAGTACTATTGCCAGAAAGTCACAAATGCCTGACTATTCATTGAATTTGGTCTTGACTGACTATTCATTAAATTTTGGTAATTTTAGTGTCTTATTTCAAGGAGTAGCCAAAACGAATAACTCGGAAAAAAATTTAATTGTTGGGGGATGATTAAACTTAACAGACTGTATACCGTACAGAGTACTGATGATGTAATGTCTCACATACAAAATAAAAATAAAATGAAAAGGTACTGTACTATCAACAAACTACAAAACAACTTTATATATATATATATATATATATATATATATATATATATATATATATATATATATATATATATATATATATATATATATATATATATAAATTTATATATATATATATATATATATATATATATAAATTTATATTTATATATATATATTTATATTTATATATTTTTTTTTTTTTTTTTATATAATTATAGGAAGGGAGTACCACCTCTAGCTGGAAGAAGGGGGACCCATAGCCTCGGAGGAAACCACGCATAACGCATTAGAGGGAATGTTTAGATCCCCTCCAATACAGTTTCTGTGTGCTTTTCTCCTACCACCCCCTTCCTTGAATATTTTTATATATAATTGAATATATTCCTTGAATATATTTATACTTCCTTGAATATATTTATATATAAATATATATATTTATATATTTATAAAACAAAATAAAAATTGTATAAACAGCTTCAAATACTATGTTGTACACAATGGGCTTTCAACTAAAAATCAAAGAATTCAATATAAACTTACCTGAGACTCAATAACCCACTGCTCCTCTTTAACCTTGACTTCATCTGTCAAGCGCTTGAGAGCCAGTTGGGATTTGTCTCGCTCATCTGCCAATGATGCCACGGTTGAGTCCAGCTTAGCAAGCTGCTCTTGTAAGCTCACCACCTGATTCCCAAGAGATTCACACCTATAGAAGAGACATCAAACTTATAAACGAAACCATATATAAACCTACTCAATGGTAATTACATAACATTGTACAATGAAATTTATATACATACTGTATATGCAAAGACAGAATTAGAATTACAAAATAAGTAATCCTTCTCAAATTTTTATCATAGTCTCTAGTTATCTGGATAAGCATGAAATTTAATGAAGACAACGCATTCATGCATTATGGAAAACATCCATTGGTCAATAACAAATGCATCTGACATAAATATGTTTAGTTACAGGCCAAATTACCAAGCTGGTAATTACCTCAAGCTCACAAGCAAAACCCTTTTGGAAGCTCACCCTATATCAAGGTAAAAGTGGAAAGTTAACTTTGAAGAGATATCACGACAACCCCATAACGAAGAATGTCCATCCTACTGACTCATGGGAAATACCAGTGTTGAATGTAATAAAATGCCTTTTTTCTGGTAGCACATTGGGTGGCTCCCTAAAACTATCTTGCTGAAATAGCTTCCCACTACTGTCCCATCAATCATAAGAGTCCTGTATGGCCTACTGGGAAACAGAGCCAAAACCTGGCTCCCCACTGAGGTGCAGAAAGCTGGGTATTGTTACGATCACCATCACCAAGAAAACATCCAGAAAGTAAGAGAAGCAACACAGATTTTAAGGCTCACAGAAAACAAGTCACAAACACAACTAAACAAATTCTCAAATAATTCATTCAAACCTACTGAGAGACCAAGATGGGCCAAGAGCAGTACGAGCTGGCTGCAGGTGAAAGAAAACATGAAACCACTTGCAAAATTGCACTGAGGATTTATCAGGGTTTAATGTCAACAAGAGCAGCTCTGCCAAAGCTGGGCAATAAGCGGCAACAGTATGAGGCATAAGATGAAGATCAACAAACAACCAAGACAAAATGACAAAACCACCAGAACAGACACGAAAAAAAAAAAGACTGAGAAACTTCATACAGTCACCGCAACAAACGTCAAAGATGGGATACAAACAATTTTGCCATCTACTCACCATATAAATGGTAATAAACTTACACCAGAAACTGTAGATGCATAGATTGGCAGAGAAGGTTGAACCAGCAGGGTATGTCACTGTGCCGACTTGCTGAAAGAGGTGGAATCATGGAGAAACCCCAGGTTCAAACACCAAGCCAAAAGAGCCAGAAGGATCATCTTGCTCAAGTATGTCTCCAATCTGGATATTACCCAGAGCAGCCACTGAACTGGGTAAAGAGATAGAGGAGCCCCCCATCTCGACCAGTGTAACCAAAAAGCATCCACGGCAAGAGCCTTGCCATAGGGAAATAGAGCCACACTGGAGTGCAGCCACCGATTCCATGCCAAATGGTCCACCTCAAATCAACCGAACATATCGCAAAGCTAATGGAAGGACGTGCTGTCAATGGTCCCTTACATGGAAACAGGATAAACTATCTGCAAGAATGTTGGACACACGCTGCACATGCACCACACAGAAAACAAAAACCCAATAAGAAGCCAAGCTACTCGCAGAGTTCAGGTAGAACTCAAGATGGCAAAACCACTGCAAGAGGACCAGGAGGGAAAAGATACCTGCTGGGAATCCCAAATCAGGCCCAACAAGGTCTGAACCTGGGATGGAATCAACTGGAACTTCTTCAGGTTCACTAGAAGAGGCATCAGCCTAAGGAAGCAAAAGGGCCCAGAAATCTATCTCTGCTGGAGGCCTACCCCAGAGCAACAGCAGGCAAGGCCTTAACACTAAAGGAGTGCTTCTAAACCGAGGGGAGAAAACCCTTCTGCGGAAGAACCTGAATGAGGGGCCAAAAGGAAACAGCAGCAATGAAAATGACAGCAGAAACAACCTTCTCCTGTGAGCTTCGGCCTCACACACATGGGGTCCATGGTTTGAGTCTTCTAGAGCCCAGGTGAATGGAATTTAACAAGCACTCTTTCAAACTTGCAAGTGGTGGGTATGGCCTCGACAGGTTGATTTATTACAAGTCGCACCACAGACTTGCAGGAGAGTTACCAGGGCCTAAAGGAGTGTAACCAAGCATGATGCCAAGGCAGTAGGGATGCTCACCAAAAGATCTGACACCATATGCAGCCTATAGGATGAACAAGGCTTTGAAGGGCATCAGCAGTGTACTGTATTAACAAGCACATGAACCCTAGAGCACCCCATAACAATAAAACCATGAATTCCCCCAACCACAGCCCCACAGAGGAATCAAAAGACCCTTACACTTCCCAGGGCAAGGCTCTTTACACAGCAGTCTGGCCTTTCGTGGACAAACTCCTGAATACACCAGAAAAGTTATTCTATCAGTTAAGGGGCAATGCAAAATGAGTGCTTAGGGAAGGGCTTCCCTAAACATATGCAGCTCATAGCAAAGACTAGACCAAGACCATACACTAGATGGGACATGTAAACACATGCACTTCAAGTAAATACGGTACTAAAGTTAGGAACTCTACACAAACAAATGGCCCCCCGACAGGACAGTGTCCAAAGGATGGTCTACACTTATCTCTGAAAAGAAGTGGGATTCTTCTATAGCCTTGAGACTCGGAAAGGTCTAACTGCTAAGACATCAGCGATACAACAGAATTACTGCTGGTGCAGGAGCATGGAGCGCCTGGGTTGCCACATGTTGGTGGCCATTTTCACTACAGGGCTAGAGCTAGGTTTCATGGAAATCATCTGAATTCAAATGAATCATTTGCAAAGTCATTTGGATGTTTTGGTGCTTTGTTTTCCATGAACCTTTCAGTTGTCTGTACTGCTTCACTTTCTAGATGTTTTCTCAGTGAGCATGATCATAATATTCCCCTACTACTTGTGCCACTATGATGGGGCCAGATTCTGGCTCTGGCCCCTGGTAGGCCATGCAAGACTCCTGTGGCTGATGTGACTTAGTACTGGGAAGTCATCTCAGCACGATAGCTTTAGGAAGCCACCAGGAACTCCTCCACAAAAACTGAATGCTATTAGCAATCTAGTGATTAGAACAGTTTATGTTAAACTTGTCAGCTACTAACCTATAGGAAAAGCAAATGTACTTCATTATTCATAACAGTATTCTGAAATATTTGCTATTCCTTACATCAACTCTGTTCTCCAACACACACAAATATTGCCATTACGTAGGTTATGATTCTACATACCAAATGAAACAAAAAAATTACTATTGTTGCCTATAACCATTTGTGGAATATTGCACTTACTTAACAAGGTAATGTTCCTATGTTGGGTCTTGTGACCAAAACCACATTCATTTACATGTGGTACAGTATGTAACAGTTAACATATAAACTACACTACAAATAATCAAAGACATTATATGTTTCGTTTCACACTAGCCGACATAACTCACCTTCCCTGTTCATCTTCAAGCTTGACTAATGCTGTTTCCAAGTCAAATGTATGCTGGGCCTCGGACGCTCTTAACCTTTCCTCTGCTGTGGCGAGAGCAAGGTTGAGCGTCTCAATTTCTCGCTCTGTGTTTTCTCGGAATCTTGTGACATCTGTAGCTCTGTTCTCAAACTCCCGGCAGCGCCCACGGTACTCACGCACCTGAGTGTTATCATTCACATCATAGAGATAGAGTAAACGTTATTAACAATACAGGGTACTAGAGAGGATCTTTGATATGAAAATTCATTTTACACAAATAGATAAAAAAATTATTAATCTTAAATTCACAAATATAAGAACAAAAGTGGGAAGAGGTACAAACTAACATGGAATCAGAATTTACAGCATTATATACTACAGCAAGCCTACAATATTTTAACAAATAAATTTATACCCAATGTCTGTACCGTAATTTTAAGTTTCATATATTAGATCAAATTAAAAGTTAATATTAAACTGTAGAACAGGTTGCAACTGAGTATACTGACAAGTCCTTAAACACACTGCACATAGTCTTATAATGTGATGAAACAAGACTTGACATTATGTTCTGGGATAAGAATAAAATTGAATATCAGAATAACTGTAAAACTGATTTACTATATTTATGGTTTACCACTACAGGATACCTTGTTTGCTAGCCGGTCTATGAGGGTTGTCTGCTTGCGGTGGACTTCATGGAAATACTCCAGTCTCTTCTGGTACTCTTGCCACTCGTCCGCAACCTGCAAATTGTTTACTTAAAATTCTCTGTACAGTAGTTAAGTCCAAATGTCTCTCTCTTTCTACTTACTGCTATCAATAGCTCTCTATACCCCCGCCCCTCTTTCTCTCTCTCTCTCTCTTACTTTCAAATTCAAATTCAAACTTTTATTCAGGTAAAAGTACATGCATTGATGAAGAGTTACAAACATAATGTTGGATTTATAGATAGAGTTAGTACATACAATACCTAAAGTCATTAATACGCATAACATTTCGGGCACTCATGCATACTCTCCCTCTTTCTCTTACTCTCATGCATACTAAGAGTAAGCAGCAAAGTACAGTGCTTGCCTTCTTAAGGACACAACTGATTACTATACTAAATCGACTGACTGTATACCTTATCATTATCACCATTACTCTGTTCCCACTTTCACTGGGAAGGTAAACAACAGCCCGGGTGAATGGGGGGGGGGGACAGGTGACCAATATCAGAAAAGGAGATTAAAGATGCCCAAAATAACATGCCCTCTATTACGTGCATCTTCCACACTACATACTGCAGCATGCACTCACATTTCGAGTAAATAACATATTGTATGGAAGATTTTAGACACACGCTAACTGAGTATCAATCATCATTAGTGTATATGGTAATTGAATATAGGAGTTTATATAATACTGTCTTAAAAATATTTAGGACGAGTGGCGAGTATTTACAGGTTGCCGCCTGTAAATACTGAAATATTACTGCTTAAAGGTACAGTAGATTACACAGGAAATTAGAATACCTGAACTAGTTTAATATCTGATGCATTTCATAAGGATATTCCCACTAGTGAAAACCAAAGAAAGTACCAGAGTGAAAATGAAAAGAGGGCGAGAGACTTACATGGTCGGACAGGGCACTGTAACGTATAGAGGCTGTATCACGATCCACTCGTGAGGTGGTCAGCATGTCTTCCAGACGCCGCACCTCCGCCTCCAGGTAGCGCGTCTCTTCCTGTCGGTGCAAATATTTAAAAGTAAAATACATATTACCGTAATACCGATCACCAAAAACCATATAAGGCAATACTTGACATTTTCCTATCACAGGCTTTTCCATTTTGTTTATATTACAAAAAAAAGCCTTGATTGCCCCCCCCCCATGTGACATACTACACAGTGATTAGTCTTGTTCTGTTTTGTTGTTGTAGTACCAGGGGTCAGAGTATACTAGTAGTACCAGGGGTCAGAGTATACTAGTAGTACCAGGGGTCAGAGTATACTAGTAGTACCAGGGGTCAGAGTACACCAGCAGTACCAGGGGTCAGAGTATACTAGTAGTACCAGGGGTCAGAGTATACTAGTAGTACCAGGGGTCAGAGTATACTAGTAGTACCAGGGTCAGAGTATACTAGTAGTACCAGGGGTCAGAGTATACTAGTAGTACCAGGGGTCAGAGTACACCAGCAGTACCAGGGGTCAGAGTATACTAGTAGTACCAGGGGTCAGAGTATACTAGTAGTACCAGGGGTCAGAGTATACTAGTAGTACCAGGGGTCAGAGTATACTAGTAGTACCAGGGGTCAGAGTACACCAGCAGTACCAGGGGTCAGAGTATACTAGTAGTACCAGGGGTCAGAGTATACTAGTAGTACCAGGGGTCAGAGTACACCAGCAGTACCAGGGGTCAGAGTATACCAGTAGTACCAGGGGTCAGAGTATACTAGTAGTACCAGGGGTCAGAGTATACTAGTAGTACCAGGGGTCAGAGTACACCAGCAGTACCAGGGGTCAGAGTATACCAGTAGTACCAGGGGTCAGAGTATACCAGTAGTACCAGGGGTCAGAGTACACCAGTAGTACCAGGGGTCAGAGTATACCAGTAGTACCAGGGGTCAGAGTATACCAGTAGTACCAGGGGTCAGAGTATACCAGTAGTACCAGGGGTCAGAGTATACCAGTAGTACCAGGGGTCAGAGTACACCAGCAGTACCAGGGGTCAGAGTACACCAGCAGTACCAGGGGTCAGAGTACACCAGCAGTACCAGGGGTCAGAGTACACCAGCAGTACCAGGGGTCAGAGTACACCAGCAGTACCAGGGGTCAGAGTACACCAGCAGTACCAGGGGTCAGAGTACACCAGCAGTACCAGGGGTCAGAGTACACCAGCAGTACCAGGGGTCAGAGTACACCAGCAGTACCAGGGGTCAGAGTACACCAGCAGTACCAGGGGTCAGAGTACACCAGCAGTACCAGGGGTCAGAGTACACCAGCAGTACCAGGGGTCAGAGTACACCAGCAGTACCAGGGGTCAGAGTATACCAGTAGTACCAGGGGTCAGAGTACACCAGCAGTACCAGGGGTCAGAGTACACCAGCAGTACCAGGGGTCAGAGTACACCAGCAGTACCAGGGGTCAGAGTATACCAGTAGTACCAGGGGTCAGAGTATACCAGTAGTACCAGGGGTCAGAGTATACCAGCAGTACCAGGGGTCAGAGTACACCAGCAGTACCAGGGGTCAGAGTACACCAGTAGTACCAGGGGTCAGCGAGCAGCACTAGAAGCGAAGGGTCTGCAATAGCACCAAGAGCGAGGGTTACCAGGTGTAGGGGTCACACCAGGTGTAGGGGTCACACCAGGTGTAGGGGGTCACACCAGGTGTAGGGGGTCACACCAGGTGTAGGAGGTCACACCAGGTGTAGGGGTCACACCAGGTGTAGGGGTCACACCAGGTGTAGGGGGTCACACCAGGTGTAGGGGGTCACACCAGGTGTAGGGGGTCACACCAGGTGTAGGGGTCACACCAGGTGTAGGGGGTCACACCAGGTGTAGGGGGTCACACCAGGTGTAGGGGGTCACACCAGGTGTAGGGGGTCACACCAGGTGTAGGGGGTCACACCAGGTGTAGGGGGTCACACCAGGTGTAGGGGTCACACCAGGTGTAGGGGGTCACACCAGGTGTAGGGGTCACACCAGGTGTAGGGGTCACACCAGGTGTAGGGGGTCACACAAGGTGTTGGGGGTCACACCAGGTGTAGGGGTCACACCAGGTGCAGGGGGTCACACCAGGTGTAGGGGGTCACACCAGGTGTAGGGGTCACACTAGGTGTAGGGGGTCACACCAGGTGTAGGGGTCACACCAGGTGTAGGGGACACACCAGGTGTAGGGGGTCACACCAGGTGTAGGGGGTCACACCAGGTGTAGGGGGTCACACCAGGTGTAGGGGGTCACACCAGGTGTAGTTGGTCACACCAGGTGTAGGGGGGTCACACCAGGTGTAGGGGGTCACACCAGGTGTAGGTGGTCACACCAGGTGTAGAGCGAGGTGAGCCTCACACCAACACTGTGTGTACACTACTGGAGGAACACAAGACCGTGAGTGGTGTCCAAACACCTGTGTATCACTATACACTTCCTGCCACTACACCACCTTATGACGTACACTAACGTACCAGTAGTATGGTACGTAAGTGTATCATACTACTGGTACAGTTAAGTATAAGTATGGTACACCCCACATAAATCTATCCATCATCAAAATGATTCGAAGGTGTTCATTAATACCCCGTAAACCGTATTTACAAGACAATAGAGAGAATTGTGTTCGAGGGCCCGAGTCCTCCGCCAAAAAATCGACACAGATGGTGGTGATACCATCAGCGGGTCGACAAGGTGGGTACTCTGGGGGAAACACGGCGTGAAGTGAGCCTTGTTGCCGCCGATCTCTATCTCCTGGGCGTCACCTCCCTTCCCCACCACCACTACCCCGACCACACTCCACCACCACCACCAAGGTTCTGCTGCGCCGTCCTCCTCCACCACCACCACAACTTGCGGTACAACAGAACAGATCACATTAGCCAAGAGCGAGGGTGTCCAAGCAGCCACTGGCCACACACAATGGTATTTAACCTGACTGATCGAATGACATCATCCCCTGGTCTACTCAGTGCATCACATGATACTTGCAATATAAGAATATTGGAGTTGGATAAGGTCATGATAAAGCAAGTACCAAAAGAGAGCACTGATCAAGGATGACCAGTGTGCTGTGTATGGTACAGCCCGTGGCAGGAATATGATGGAGAGAAGAGGAGCTGGGCTATGAGGGTGGAGGAAGGAATCAACCACTCGTACAAGTGAAGATGGTAACTCGATCTGCAAGATGCAAAAGTTTCGCACTCTTAAGGCTTTTATCAGGTAAAGTGTAAAGTGCCAGAGGGACAAACTCCACCATGAGTGTTATGATCCGTCTGTATATATACCCGCCGAGTGCCATTGGTTGTGACAATGATGAAGACACAACACGTTCAGGGAGGAGGGGGGAGGGGGGGTGAAGGGGGTATAAGCCTCCACACAGTTTAACAGCCTGGCGCGGGAGACATCTCCCGTCACGCAGGGTGCAGTCGCACCTCCACAGATCTCCAGTATCAGCTCTTGATACTGGTAATGGCTCAAAAGGACCACCACTTACTGGCTATTCATGCCCGTGCCACCTTTTGGGTGGCTTAATCTTCATCAATCAACAGCCTGCACCAGGATTCACGAAGCAGCTACACCAACACTTACGAACCTCGACATCTTACCTCTGCACCTTGGCGGCTGTTTACATATTTATAACAGTTTGTGAGCTCCGAGGATCCAGGAAGCTGTTTATAACAACAACAATTGTCTGGCAAGTGTCGAGGCTCCTAAACTGCTTAATACACGTAAACAAGGCCGCCCCAAGACTGTGACAACATGTACAGGTTGGTCAGTAGACACGTAACTGCTCGTTGTATTCTGACCTTGGGGCCAGATTCACGAAGCAGTTACGCAAGCACTTACGAACCTGTACATCTTTTCTCAATCTTTGGCGGCTTTGTTTACAATTAGTAAACAGTTAATGAGCTCCGAAGCACCAGGAGGCTGTTTATAACAATAACAACAGTTGATTGGCTTTTTTTTATCCCTGACGGTCCAACAAGAGCCGTTTAAGAGGCATCTTTCAGGGAAACCGTCCAGTTGCACGCTACTGGACGGTCATTTCAGCCTTGATTCATTTGATTGGCAAGTTTTTATGCCTGTAAACTGTTTTACAAATGTAAACAAAGCCGTCAAAGATTGAGGAAAGATGCACACGTTCGTAAGTACTTGCGTAACTGTTTCGTGAATCTGGCCCCAGGTTGGTAAGTACTTGCGTAGCTGCTTGGTCAATCTGGCGGCCCGGTACACTACGACCAGCGATGGTGACGCAGCCTGCCGTACTCTATTTATTTATTTATTTATGCATATACAAGAATGTACATAAGGAATGTGAGGATACAAATATGGTAATTACAGTCTTGTAAAGCCACTAGCACGCGCAGCGTTTCGGGCAGGGTACTCTACGGCCTTCCCGCCCCACCTCTAACAACATGACTCCTCAAACACAGTAACCAAAAGATCACAGTAACTATCTATCATCGCAGGTCTTCATCCCTCACAATGTTCCGTAATATGTTGATTCTTTATGATAAGTGATTCTAATATATATATATATATATATATATATATATATATATATATATATATATATATATATATATATATATATATATGAATGAATGAACACGTTGTAGTATGGAACAGACTTACTTCAATTTCAATCACAGGTGTAATAATCATAGCTTAACATTCTACTTAATCTTACTTAATATTGCATGACAAGGAAGATACATACAATATGTGGCTACAATATGTACTGCCGCTTGTATTTGTTCTCTCGCTTGCCAGACACAAGGTAATGTCTTTATCAGGAGAAAGCACTAAGCGATTACGACTTTATAGCACTTGGAAGGAATATTGGGGGATAAGGATTTAGGTCAGGGCGATGGAGAGGAACTTGGACGGTCGGGGGATTGAACGCAGACCTGCAGGAAGCGAGACCGTCGCTCTACCGTCCAGCCCAAGTGGTTGGGCACCTTGGGTTCCACTGGTGAAGGCTTGAGACCCGTGGTGCAGTGTTGGGTTTCAATGGTGACGACCCAAGATGCGTTGTTGAATCTTAGTATGCTGACGTTTGTGTGGAATTTCACTGTGTTGTCTTTCTTTAATGAAATAGTTGAGAGCAATATTTAGCCTCATCTCTAATAGGGTATTACCCCCCACAAAACCAGGACGCGAATATAAAAAAGGGGCAATCAAAGGCATGCACAGAGTTTAATAGACTTTAGCATGAAGCAGGGAGACGAGATAATCGATTGTTCGCTGGCTGCTTTGCCAGCCCGCCCGCCCGCTCGCGTGCACGCGCACGCACACACACACACACGCACACACGCACACACACACGCACACACACACGCACACACACACACACACACACACACACACACACACACACACACACACACACACACACACACACACACACACACACACACACACACTCTGACGGTTGAGAGGCGGGACCAAAGAGCCAGAGCTCAACCCCCGCAAGCACAACTAGGTGAGTACAACTAGGTGAGTACACACACACACACACACACACACACACACACACACTAAACGAGACAGAAATAACCACCACAGAACACCGTGTGATACTATGGCGATACAACACCAGCCGACAAGAAAAGCCGGATCCAAGAGCTTGAGCTCGATCCAGTAGACACAAACAAACGAGTACAGAAACCACACACACACCCACACACACACAACACACACACACACACACACACACACACACACACACACACACACACACCACCCACACCCACACACACACACACACACACACACACAGCGTCACAAGTGGAGTCCCGCAGGGGTCAGTCCTCGGACCTATACTGTTTCTGGTATATGTAAATGATCTCCCAGAGGGTATAGATTCGTTCCTCTCAATGTTTGCCGACGATGCAAAAATTATGAGGAGGATTGAAACAGAGGATGATAGTAGGAGGCTACAAGATGACCTGGATAGACTGAGTGAATGGTCCAACAAATGGCTGTTGAAGTTCAACCCGAGTAAATGCAAAGTAATGAAACTAGGCAGTGGAAACAGGAGGCCAGGCACAGGATACAGAATAGGAGATGAAGTACTTAATGAAACAGACAGAGAGAAAGATCTAGGAGTTGATATCACACCAAACCTGTCTCCTGAAGCCCACATAAAGAGAATAACGTCTGCGGCATATGCGAGGCTGGCTAACATCAGAACGGCGTTCAGGAACCTGTGTAAGGAATCATTCAGAATCTTGTACACCACATATGTAAGACCAATCCTGGAGTATGCGGCCCCAGCATGGAGCCCGTACCTTGTCAAGCACAAGACGAAGCTGGAAAAAGTCCAAAGGTATGCTACTAGACTAGTCCCAGAACTAAGAGGCATGAGTTATGAGGAAAGGCTGCGGGAAATGCACCTCACGACACTGGAAGACAGAAGAGTAAGGGGAGACATGATCACAACCTACAAAATCCTCAGGGGAATCGACCGGGTAAACAAGGACGAACTTTTCAACACTGGTGGGACGCGAACAAGGGGACACAGGTGGAAGCTGAGTACCCAAATGAGCCACAGAGACGTTAGAAAGAACTTTTTCAGTGTCAGAGTAGTTAGCAAATGGAATGCATTAGGAAGTGATGTGGTGGAGGCTGACTCCATTCACAGTTTCAAATGTAGATATGATAGAGCCCAATAGGCTCAGGAATCTGTACACCAGTTGATTGACGGTTGAGAGGCGGGACCAAAGAGCCAGAGCTCAACCCCCGCAAGCACAATTAGGTGAGCAATTAGGTGAGCACACAGCAGCAGCAGACAATAGCGACATCAATAGAAGCCCACGCACGCCGTCAGCATAACATCCCCCCTGTGGTTGAGAAGGCAAATTACCCGCCAGTGAAGGGATGAAGGCATTACTTCCCCAGAGCCGTGGGTTCACCCCAGGCGTAGTGCCCCAGGCTCCTACTCTGGGGAAGCAGTGAGGGAGGGACCAACACACGCGCGCACACAACCAACCCCGGTAATCTGTACGAGGAGGAGTAACGTAGCTGTCATTCCAGAGGTCGTGCGCTCTACCTAACATGAGATTATCTCCGCAATGAACGCTCTCATCTCGGGGGGAGACAAATGATAATGGAATTGACTGCCAAACTTGGTGTATTTGGAGAGTGTGGGAGAAGCACTGTGGCCAGTCTATGGTGGTGTGGCAGAAGCGCTGTGGCCAGTCTATGGTGGTGTGGCAGAAGCGCTGTGGCCAGTCTATGGTGCTGTGGGAGAAGCGCTGTGGCCAGTCTATGGTGCTGTGGGAGAAGCACTGTGGCCAGTCTATGGTGCTGTGGCAGCAGCACTGTGCCCAGTCTATGGTGCTGTGGCAGAAGCACTGTGGCCAGTCTATGGTGCTGTGGGAGAAGCACTGTGGCCAGTCTATGGTGCTGTGGGAGAAGCACTGTGGCCAGTCTATGGTGGTGTGGCAGAAGCGCTGTGGCCAGTCTATGGTGCTGTGGCAGAAACACTGTGACCAGCCTATGGTGTTGTGGCAGAAGCACTGTGGCCAGCCTATGGTGCTGTGGCAGAAGCACTGTGGCCAGCCTATGGTGCTGTGGCAGCAGCACTGTGGCCAGCCTGTGGTGCTGTGGCGGGCACGTCAGGAAGCAGCAGATAGCTTGATCCCAACTACAAGAGATCCTGGAATATAACAACAGTAATTATGGGTTCGACAGCGAACTGAAGCCAGGAAGAGCGAGGCACACAGCAGGCCACACAACTCTCAGTAACCACCAAGAGCAAGATATAACTACACAAATATGGGAAAGAAAACTTAACTAGTAAGAGCGGTTCACCAGACAAGAGTTAGCCAAGACGATAAAGGAAGCCACAAAAAAAAAGATCTTCGGGGCTTCGGAGCCACAAAAAAAAAGATCTTCGGGGCTTCGGAGCCACAAAAAAGAAATCTTCGGGGCTTCGGAGCCACAAAAAAAAGATCTTCGGGGCTTCGGAGCCACAAAAAAAAGATCTTCGGAGCCACAAAAAAAAGATCTTCGGGGCTTCGGAGCCACAAAAAAAAGATCTTCGGGGCTTCGGAGCCACAAAAAAAGATCTTCAGGGCTTCAGAGCCACAAAAAAAAGATCTTTGGGGCTTCGGAGCCACAAAAAAAAATCTTTGGGGCTTCGGAGCCACAAAAAAAAAGATCTTCGGGGCTTCGGAGCCACAAAAAAAGATCTTCAGGGCTTCAGAGCCACAAAAAAAAGATCTTCGGGGCTTCGGAGCCACAAAAAAAAAGATCTTCGGGGCTTCGGAGCCACACAAAAAAGAAGATCTTCAGGGCTTCAGAGCCACAAAAAAAAAGATCTTCGGGGCTTCGGAGCCACAAAAAAAAAAAGATCTTTGGGGCTTCGGAGCCACAAAAAAAGGTCTTCGGGGCTTCGGAGCCACACAAAAAAAAAAGATCTTCGGGGCTTCGGAGCCACACAAAAAAAAAAAGATCTTCGGGGCTTCGGAGCCACACAAAAAAAAAAGATCTTCGGGGCTTCGGAGCCACACAAAAAAGAAGATCTTCGGGGCTTCAGAGTCACAAACAAACAACAGATCTCCGGGACTTGGGGCCTACAAGACATCCTCCTCCACCAGCACGGAGGGAACGCGTACAGCGAGACATGACCAGCCTCCCAGCAACAAGTATCACTCCTAAAATCACTGTACACAACTGATGCAAGATCACTGTTGCCCTAAGACCAGGTGTGCGAGGGGACCGGAGGAGTCGGGGAGTATTCGAACTCCCGAGACCCTCTCCAGGTAAAATCCAGGTAAGGTGCAACCACCCGGGGAGCTAAACAGGGCCGACCGTCCACTTACAAACGCACGTTACAGTACAGTGAATTACTTCCACATGTACAATGCTGTACACATTTTAAGAGTGAAGAGTGACTTACCCAGTGTGTACACCACTCCAGTACGAGGGACGAGTGACTTACCTCCAGTCTGTACATCTCGGGGTCGTCCATGGCGTCGTGGGTGTGGGTGAGGTGGCCGACGGTGAGGGGCGTGGAGGGCGACGCCCCTGGGAACAGATCCCGACGCACTCTGCTGGTCCCGCCCCTGGGGGTCACTGGTCGCTTGATGGGCGTGCTGGTCGTCACTCCCGCCCTGCAACACAACACTGGTTACTCCCGCCCTGCAACACACACACAACACTGGTTACTCCCGCCCTGCAACACACACAACACTGGTTACTCCCGCCCTGCAACACAACACTGGTTACTCCCGCCCTGGAACACACACAACACTGGTTACTCCCGCCCTGGAACACACACAACACTGGTTACTCCCGCCCTGCAACACAACACTGGTTACTCCCGCCCTGGAACACACACAACACTGGTTACTCCCGCCCTGCAACACAACACTGGTTACTCCCGCCCTGGAACACACACAACACTGGTTACTCCCGCCCTGCAACACAACACTGGTTACTCCCGCCCTGCAACACAACACTGGTTACTCCCGCCCTGCAACACAACACTGGTTACTCCCGCCCTGGAACACACACACAACACTGGTTACTCCCGCCCTGCAACACACACAACACTGGTTTCTCCCGCCCTGCTTACTGGTTATTCAATGGGAGACGGTCTTAAGCGACCAAACTCCCAGACAGGGAATAGTTCAGCTGACAGCATACAAGGTCTGCTTGAAGCACGTGCCTGTGAGGAGGGGCAGACAGAGGACCACTCTAGACAGAGAACGCAGACGACTGTACAGAAGAAGGAAAAAATCACCGAAATGCTTAAGCAGACACGACTGTAACAAGAAAGAAAACTAAACCTAAACAGGGAGATCGAAGAAACAGAACAAACGTTGAAGCGATCATACGAGTCTGAGGAAATGGAATTGGAACAGAAAGCTATACAAGAGGTAAAGAAAAATCCAAAATATTTTTTTCACATATGCAAAATCAAAATAAAAAAACACCACCAGTATTGAACCATTAATTACAACTGAAGGTTCGTACACAGAGGACAACAAAGAAATTAGTGAAATTCTAAGAAGCCAGCATGAGGCTATGTTTAGCACACCAATAAACAACATGAAAGTTGATGACCCAGACAGCTTCTTTATGAATGACATTCAAACTGCAGATAATATAACGGATATTTACTCGAACTCGGAAGACTTTGAAAGAGAAATTGACAATATGCCCATGCACTCAGTTCCTGGGCCGGACTCGTGGAATTCAATATTCATAAAGAAATGTAAAGTACCAGTAGCGCGAGCACTCAGTGTAATATGGAGAAAGAGCCTGGATACAGGGGAGATCTTTAGGTTATCTTGTGTTACGTCACAGGGGAGATACCAGCAGCACTTAAACCTGCAGATATAGCTCCTCTGCACAAGGGGAGGGGGGATACCTCTACATGTATCCCAGCTTGAGTTAGCCTGTAGAGGTTAGTAAGTGCAGGTGTAGCTGCTTGGTAGCCCTTGGGACGGGCGTGGCCCAGTGGCCTCAGGGCCGGGTGTGGCAGAGTGGCCCCAGGTCCGGGTGTGGCCCAGCGGCCCCTGGTCCGGGTGTGGCCCAGCAGACCCTGGTCCGGGTGTGGCCTAGCGGCCCCTGGTCCGGGTGTGGCCCAGCGGCCCCTGGTCCGGGTGTGGCCTAGCGGCCCCTGGTCCGGGTGTGGCCCAGCGGCCCCTGGTCCGGGGTGCCGTCACAGCTCCCACTAATGATACTGCTGGGGCCCACAATTATACCAACACGGCGGCCAAAAATAGGCGACCCGGGAGGTAGGGATGAAGCAGGTAGAGCAGGCCAGTAAGGTACTGCCAGGCGTGGTACTGTCCACGGTACTGCTGGCGTCACGGTGGGGCGTGACCTCACGGGTACTGGCGTCACGGTGGGGCGTGACGTCACGGGTACTGGCGTCACGGTGCGTCATGACGTCACGAGTACTGGCGACACGGTGGGATGTGACGTCACGGGTACTGGCGTCACGGATATTGTATTTACGTTACTAATAAAGCCTAATACAGTACATATTATATATATATATGTATATATATATAATATATATATAATATATATTATATATATATATATATATATATATATATATATATATATAATTTTCAAATATACACCAATAATACAAATCAAGTATACCCAGCGGGTATTTCATTACCTTGTATGGGGAATTGCAGTTATAGTTTTCTATGATGTAGTAAATGTATTCTTGTGCAGAGTAACGAAGGCATGTACTCACCTAATTGTGCTTGCGGGGGTTGAGCTTTGGCTCTTTGGTCCCGCGTCTCAACTGTCAATCAACTGGTGTACAGATTCCAATGTATTGTATTGTGTATGACCGCGAGACTGACAAAGGTGTGTCTCTCCGGTATGACTTCTCGAGTCTCGCATTAGGTTCAGGTGTGTGTTCATGCTAGAGTCCCTTGTGTGTGTATGAGTTACCTGTGTATTTCCTCAAGGTGTGTGTATGTGTGTATTGTTGACACCTAATACTGTTAGTCTTGGTGATCTACCCTCATCTACCCGTCACGTGGTACAGTGTCTACACATCTACTATCTACCACCCTCACGTGGTAGAACAATCTACGCGAATACACAGATTTTAATCACAAAATTGCTGTCGCGTCTTAACTTCATTGAATTAAACAACATTTCTTAATTATGCAGATAATAACTGGCAATAATGGGATGTTTCGATCCGTCCTCGACACGACGGACCGACACGTCGTGACGGAAGGGTCCAGGACGGACAGAAACGTCGTCACATAAGGGTTCAGGACGGACAGAAACGTCGTCACATTAGGATCCAGGACGGACAGAAACCGTCACATTAGGGTTCAGGACGGACAGAAACGTCGTCACATTAGGGTCCAGGACGGACAGAAACGTCGTCACATAAGGGTCCAGGACGGACAGAAACGTCGTCACATAAGGGTCCAGGACGGACAGAAACGTCGTCACATAAGGGTCCAGGACGGACAGAAACGTCGTCACATAAGGGTCCAGGACGGACCGAAACATCGTCACATTAGGGTCCAGGACGGACAGAAACGTCGTCACATTAGGGTCCAGGACGGACAGAAACGTCGTCACATTAGGGTTCAGGACGGACAGAAACGTCGTCACATTAGGGTCCAGGACGGACAGAAACGTCGTCACATAAGGGTCCAGGACGGACCGAAACGTCGTCACATTAGGGTCCAGGACGGACAGAAACGGCGTCACATAAGGGTCCAGGACGGACAGAAATGTCGTCACATTAGGGTCCAGGACGGACAGAAACGTCGTCACATTAGGGTCCAGGACGGACAGAAACGTCGTCACATAAGGGTCCAGGACGGACAGAAACCGTCACATAAGGGTCCAGGAGGGACAGAAACATCGTCACATTAGGGTGACTGCTCTGACCTCACACACCCTTACTGACCCACAAACACCCAAATCACTGCATTTAACGCGGAAAATTAGTTTTTCTTAATATCATTTCACACAATGCGAGAAGGCAGGAATGGGGCGAGCCAGATGGCGAGGTGCAGGCGGCCAGACATGACACCATAATGGATCACACACACAAACCTTATTAGGAGAAATATGATTCAATATGCTGATAATTTGTTTGAGCAGCGATATAAGTCTCATTTTAACACGATAACGTTCCTGTATCAGAGCAGAAAGCGCAGAGAGAGAGAGAGAAAGAGAGACGAGTTGGGAGAGAGAGAGAGAGAGAGAGAGGAGAAGAGAGGGAGAGAGAAGAGGAAGGTGAGAGAGGGTCCGAGAGAGGAGAAGAGAGGAGGAGAGCGATAAGAGAGAGAGGGAGGAGGAGAGACGAGAGAGAAGAGGAGAGAGAGAGAGAGAGAGGAGGAGCAGGAGAAGAGGAGGAGAGCGGAGAGAGGAATGAGAGAGAGAGAGCGAGGACGAGAGAGGAGAGAGAGAGACGATGGTGGAGAGAAAGAGGGCGAGGACAGAGAGATGGAAGAGAGAGAGAGAGAAGAGAAGAGAGGAGAGAGAGAGAGGAGTGAGAAGACAGAGACGGAGAAGAGAGAGAGAGAGAAGAGAAAAGAGAGAGTGAGAGAGGGAGAGAGAAAGAGAGGCAGAGGAGAGGCGAAAGAGAGAGAGAGAGGAGAGAGAGGAGAGAGAGAGAGAGAGAGAGAGAGCAGAGAAGAGAGAGAGAGGAGAGAGAGAGAGATGAGAGAGAGAGAGAGACGAGAGAGAGAGAGAGAGAGAGAGAGAGAGAGAGAGAGAGAGAGAGAGAGAGAGAGAGGAGAGAGAGGGAGAGAGAGAGAGAGAGAGAGAGGGAGAGAGAGAGAGAGAGAGAGAGAGAGAGAGGGGGGATGAGAAGCGAGATGAGAGGAGAGAGGGAGAGAGAGTTGAGAGAGGAGAGAGAGGGGGGGGGGGGACTGTGTATTCACCTAGTTGTGTTTGCGGGGGGTTGAGCTTTGGCTCTTTGGTCCCGCCTCTCAACTGTCAATCAAACTGGTGTACAGATTCCTGAGCCTACTGGGCTCTATCATATCTACATTTGAAACTGTGTATGGAGTCAGCCTCCACCACATCACTTCCTAATGCATTCCACCTGTTAACTACTCTGACACTGAAAAAAATATTATAATGTCTCTGTGGCTCATTTTGGTAATAAGTTTCCACCTGTGTCCCCTTGTGTGTGTTCCTCCAGTGCTAAATAGTTTGCCATTGTCCACCCTGTTGATGACCCCTGAGAATTTTGTAGGTTGTTATCATGTCTCCCCATACTCTGTCTTCCAGGGACGTGAGGAGCAGCTCCCTTAGCCTTTCCTCGTAACTCATACCCCTCATTTCTGGGAAAATTCAGCCACTACCCCAGCTGAATAATCAGTTTATAACTGGGAATCCTGGAAGGTGATACATAGGCCGGATGTGCTGGCAGCCGGCCCAGGGACACTGTGAACCATTACCGGGGTAATTACAGTCTTCAGGTGATTACTGCACGTAATCACCTAAATAATCCGGGCAGGTGAGGCCGCCTGATATATACTGTTAATGATCAGAGGCGCGTGTGTGTGTGTGTTGCTTTCCCCTTGTCAAGCAGTGCTCTCTCTCTCTCTCTCTCTCTCTCTCTCTCTCTCTCTCTCTCTCTCTCTCTCTCTCTCTCTCTCTCTCTCTCTCTCTCTCTCTCCCTCTCTCTTAGTGCCACACTCTACAATCCTAATGATACTCTCATCAACATTTATTGCACCCTATGGTTCTATTTCCAATCTATGTGCTCCTACACACACACACACACACACACAGGCGTGTGAGTGTGTGGTACCGGTGGCTGGCACCCTGGACACGTGATCCTGTGGCCCGGGTTCGATTCCCGGCGCCGGCGAGAAATGATAGGCACAGGTTCTTTCACCCCTGATGCCTCTGTTAGCTAGCGGTAAATAGGTACCTGGGAGTTAGTCAGCTGTCACGGGCTGCTTCCTGGGTGTGGGTGTGTGTGTGTGGGTGTAAAAAAAATATAGTACTTAGTAACAGTTGATTGACAGTTGAGAGGCGGGCCGAAAGAGCTGAGCTCAACTCCCGCAAGCACAACTAGGTAAGTACACACACACACACACACACACACACACACACACACACACACACACACACACACACACGCACGCACGCACACGCGCACACATACACACGCACGCACTCTTGAATCCTTACAAACTTCTCTGTAAAAAGATAGAAATGTCTATCTTTTGCGTGTAAGATAGACATAAAAAAAGAGATAAAACACCGTTCAAAAAAAAAAAGCTAGAACCGTCTTGCGTAGAGTAGGTTTACCTGTGAGGCGCGGCGCTGGTGTAGAGGCGGTGGTCGGCGCGGTAGACGTCAGTGAGTGACCGGGCCCTGGGCTGGAGGTGACCGGGGTCATCCCGGGCTGATCCAGAGTCCTCCCCAGTCAGGTCACCACGACTGAGACGTGATGACCCCGCGGCGGCGCCCTCTGACTCCCGCTCCAGGGAGTGGTGCCTGTCGCCCGGGAAAGGTATACTGGTTAGACCTGACACACACACACACACACACACACACACACACACACACACACACACACACACACACACACACACACACACACACACACACACAAACACACACACACATCATCATCATGTGTAAATATAAAAATTGAGGGCCGCCCCCCCTCCCCTCAAAAAAATTGAGCCACACATGCATTATACACAACTACACATGCATTATACACAGCCACACATGCATTATACACAACTACACATGCATAGAAAGTCACACCAAACCACACACCAGAAGATGAAGAGACGACGACGTTTCGGTCCGTCCTGGATCATTATCAAGTCGATTGTTATGAGACGAGGGAGACACGGGCATTAGTAAGGCAAGAGAGAGGTGAGGAGGAGGAGGACATCTTAGAGGAAGGAGCAAGGCGAAAGGGACGTGATGGATAGGTGTAATAAAGGGTGTAATAATAGGAGTAAGAATTGGAGCGTAAGAAAAAGAACAAAAAGAATTAGAGAAAAAAAGGAAGGGTAGGCTTATGTTAGGTCACGTTTGTTAGAAAGTTTAGAACATTTGAGTATGTACTGTGAAAGGGAAGAGTCAACAGCAACAAAGCCAGGACTAAGGTTCATGTTGGGTAGGTTGTGTATCAGAGCCGATTCGACAAGACGGCGTCTGTGAAGAGTAGAGGCAGGAAAGATTATTTTAGAAGAAGACCAATCAATAGGATGATTAGAATCCCTAACATGACAGAAGAGAGCATTGTTTGTGTCTGCAGACTTAACACTTCTTTTGTGTTCCTTAAGTCTGTCATTTAGTGTACGGCCAGTTTCACCAAAGTATTGGAGAGGACAAGACGAACAGGAAATAGAGTAGACACCAGCAGCATTAGAAGCAGGAGGAGCAGTGTGAACCAGATTACTACGAAGAGTGTTAGTTTGTCGAAAGGCGAGCTTTATGTCAAGAGGACGAAGGGTATTAGTGAGATTTTTGAGTTCAGATATGAAGGGAAGGCAGAGCACAGTGGTACTAGTGTTGGAAACAGGTTTAGGATGAAAGAAATTTCGTTTAGCTTGAGAATAGGCACAGTTGATAAAATGTAAGGGGTAACCAAGGCGAGAGAAAGATTTGTAAATAAAAGAAATTTCAGAATCAAGAAACTGAGGGTCACTGATGCGTAGAGCGCGGAGGAAGAGAGAGACGAGGACACTTTTCTTAACAGAAGGAGGATGGTAGGAAAAGAAGTGAATGTACATACCACTATGCATGGGTTTGCGGTAGACAGAGAAAGAGAACCCGGACACAGAGCTGTGAACATGAACGTCAAGAAAAGGAAGGAGGGAATTAGATTCCCATTCAACTTTGAAATGGATGGAAGGAGCCAGATTGTTAAGAGAGGAGAGGAAAGGCTGGAAAAGACTAAGGTCATGAGGCCATAAAGCAAAAATGTCATCAACATAGCGAAGCCAGAGAGAGGGACGAGTATCAATAGTGGGAAGAAGAACGGTTTCGAAGTATTCCATATAGAGATTGGCAAGAACAGGGGAGAGAGGGGAACCCATACCCACAGGAGGGAGATCAAAGAAACAGAACAAACGTTGAAGCGATCATACGAGTCTGAGGAAATGGAATTGGAACAGAAAGCTATACAAGAGGTAAAGAAAAAATCCATTTTTTTCACATATGCAAAATCAAAAACCTCCACCGGTATTGGACCACTAATTACAACTGAAGGTTCGTACACAGAGGACAACAAAGAGATTAGTGAAATTCTAAGAAGCCAGTATGAGGCTATGTTTAGCACACCAATAAACAACATGAAAGTTGATGACCCAGACAGCTTCTTTATGAATGACATTCAAACTGCAGATAATATAACATTATATTACATTATCTGCAGATAATATAACGGATATTAACACAAACTCGGAAAACTTTGAAAGAGAAATTGACAATATGCCCATGCACTCAGCTCCTGGGCCTGACTCATGGAATTCAATATTCATAAAGAAATGTAAAGTACCAGTAGCGCGAGCACTCAGCGTAATATGGAGAAAGAGCCTGGATACAGGGGAGATCTTTAGGTTATCTTGTGTTACGTCACAGGGGAGATACCAGCAGCACTTAAACCTGCAGATATAGCTCCGTTGCACAAGGGGGGGAGTAAAGCCTTGGTAAATAGACCAGTTGCACTAACATGTCACATAATAAAAGTTTTTGAAAGAGTGATTAGGAATCAAATTTCTAGTTTTATGGAAAATAATGAACTACACAATCCAGGACAACATGGATTTAGAGCGGGAAGGTCCTGTCTGTCACAGTTACTCAACCACTATGACAAAATCACAGAAGCTTTAGAAGAAAAGCAAAATGCAGATGTTGTATACACAGACTTTGCAAAGATATTCGACAAATGTGACCATGGAGTGATAGCTCACAAAATGAGGTCAATGGGAGTAACTGGTGAAGTAAGGCACTGGATACTCAATTTCCTGTCGAACAGAACACAGAGTAACAGTCAATTAAATAAAATCGAGTCCATGTGCAGTTAAAAGCTCTGTACCTCAAGGTACAGTCCTTACACCGCTGCTGTTCCTTATTCTCATATCAGATATAGACAAAAATACACGTCACCGCTTCGTGTCATCCTTTGTAGATCCTTTTCAAAAATCCAGACATTAACAAAGTTTTTGACTGGGCAGCAGAAAATAACAATGTTTAACGGTAATAAATTCCAGGTACTCAGGTACGGTAAATATGAGAACCTTAAACATAATACAGGGTACAAAACACTATCGAATCTGCCCATAGTAGGAAAGCAACATGTCAAGGATTTGGGAATAATGATGTCTGACGACCTAACGTTTAGGGAGCATAACCAAGCAAATATTGCACCAGCCAGAAAAATGATAGGATGGATTACGAGAACTTTCAAATCCAGGGATCCCATCACAATGGTTGTACTACACAAATCACTTGTGTTGTCCCGTCTTGTGTATTGTTCAGTACTCACTTCCTCCTTCAGAGCAGGAGAGATTGCTGAAATAGAGGGAATACAGAGAACATATACGGCATACATAGACGCGATAAAGCACCTAAATTATTGGGATCGTCTCAAAGCTCTCCAAATGTACTCACTAGAAAGGAGACGAGAGAGATATCAAATAATATACTCGTGGAAAATACTGGAAGGCCAGGTCCCAAATCTACACAGTAAAATAACAACGTACTGGAGTGAACGATATGGAAGAAAATGCAGAATAGAACCAGTCAAGAGCAGAGGTGCCATAGGCACAATCAGAGAACACTGTATGAACATCAGAGGTCCACGGTTGTTCAACGTCCTCCCAGCAAGCATAAGAAATATTGCCGGAACAACCGTGGACATCTTCAAGAGAAAACTAGATTGTTTTCTTCAAGGAGTACAGGACCAACCGGGCTGTGGTGGGTATGTGGGCCTGCGGGCCGCTCCAAGCAACAGCCTGGTGGACCAAACTCTCACAAGTCAAGCCTGGCCTCGGGCCGGGCTTGGGGAGTAGAAGAACTCCCAGAACCCCATCAACCAGGTATCAAGAAGGTACCTAACTTCCCACCTCCTCCTCCCCCCCCCAGGTCCTGCTCCCCCACCCCCAGGGGAGACTGCCAGTGGTGTGGTGACCACTGGAGATAATACAAGCCTGGCCCATATTCCCCCAATACATCCCATTGTATTAATTGTATGCTTGGGTGTATGGTGGTCCAGTACACTCAGGGGTACAGCCCTCCCCTGAACCACAATTACCCATATTAATAGCAACAAGCTTACAAAAATACATTTCCTCCCCGGACTGTACTTGTGCCTTACAATACAACCTCCATACACGCACCAACACGCTCACAAACTGTATTACTTTGAATTTTGTGCTGTATTACTTTTGAACTACTGTATTACTTTGAGTTTCGTGCATAATGAAGACATATTAATGTATTGTGTCAATGAGATAATTCAGTAGGAGCCTTGAGAGGGATTCGAACTCGCACACTTCATTTTGGTGTGATGGTCTAGGGTGTGGGGGGGGGGGCTTGGGAGTATCGAGTGAGTGCGGGTTCGAATCCTTCTCATTATGGCTCCTACTGATTTTCTCAGTAGGTTTATGTTGTAGTAGCAAGGCACCCACATCTGTAGCCACCCACACCTGTAGCCACCCACACCTGTAGCCACCCACATCTGTACCCACCAACACCTGTACCCACCCACACCTGTGGCCACCCACACCTGTAGCCACCCACACCTGTAGCCACCCACATCTGTACCCACCCACACCTGTACCCACCCACACCTGTAGCCACCCACGCCTGTAGCCACCCACACCTGTACCACCCACACCTGTGGCCACCCACACCTGTAGCCACCTACACCTGTAGCCACCCACACCTGTGGCCACCCACACCTGTAGCCACCCACACCTGTAGCCACCCACGCCTGTAGCCACCCACACCTGTACCACCCACACCTGTGGCCACCCACACCTGTAGCCACCTACACCTGTACCCACCCACACCTGTGGCCACCCACACCTGTAGCCACCCACACCTGTAGCCACCCACACCTGTAGCCACCCACACCTGTGGCCACCCACACCTGTGGCCACCCACACCTGTGGCCACCCAGACCTGTGGCCACCCAGACCTGTAGCCACCCACACCTGTACCCACCCACACCTGTAGCCACCCACACCTGTAGCCACCCACACCTGTAGCCACCCACACCTGTGGCCACCCGTACCTGTAGCCACCCACACCTGTACCCACCCACACCTGTACCCACCCACACCTGTAGCCACCCACACCTGTGGCCACCCGTACCTGTACCCACCCACACCTGTAGCCACCCACACCTGTAGCCACCCACGCCTGTAGCCACCCACGCCTGTACCCACCCACACCTGTAGCCACCCACACCTGTGGCCACCCGTACCTGTAGCCACCCATACCTGTAGCCACCCACACCTGTACCCACCCACACCTGTAGCCACCCACACCTGTGGCCACCCGTACCTGTAGCCACCCACACCTGTAGCCACCCACCAGGAGAGGAGCGGCCTGCACCACACCCACAACTGTGATGGTGACATGCTCAGAAGGCACCGCTGCTCAGTACATGTTCACAGCGGTGACTGTGAACACCGTCACCGCTGGTGAGCCGCTACTGTGATGCCTGCTACACGCCTGGAGGCTCTCCGGACCCATACCTCACAACGCCACACACCAGTGCATTGATCCTCCCTCACCAACCTATTATTACACTCAGAGTTATTCTATCTCTCTTCCCCCATCCCCTCTCTCTCTCTCTCTCTCTCTCTCTCTCTCTCTCTCTCTCTCTCTCTCTCTCTCTCTCTCTCTCTCTCTCTCTCTCTCTCTCTCCCTGTCTCTCCCTCACACCACACTGGGGAGGCTACGGGAGACCCTGGAGCACGGGGCACCACACTGGCTCTACACTTGCTCTCATATATAGATACAAAGGAACAATAAGAGAGGCCAAGCCATGGCCAGTTCAATTTCCTTCATAAATTGGTGACGTGGTGTCCCGCTGGGCTGCCTGCATCACTGGGTAGCAGGGCTGTGCTTGCGTGCTGGACCACAGGCGGCTTCAGGTACCAGGCAGGCAGGCAGGGAGGCAGGCAGAGGCAGGGAGGCAGGCAGGGAGGGAGGGAGGGAGGCAGGGAGGGAGGGAGGGAGGGAGGGAGGGAGGCAGGGAGGGAGGCAGGGAGGCAGGCAGAGGCAGGGAGGGAGGAAGAGAGGCAGGCAGGGAGGAAGAGAGGCAGGCAGGGAGGGAGGGAGGCAGGGAGGGAGGCAGGGAGGGAGGGAGGGAGGGAGGCAGGGAGGGAGGCAGGCAGGCAGGCAGAGGCAGGGAGGGAGGGAGGGAGGGAGGGAGGGAGGGAGGGAGGGAGGGAGGGAGGGAGGGAGGCAGGCAGGCAGGCAGGCAGGCAGGCAGGCAGGGAAGCAGGGAGGAAGGCAGGCAGGCAGGCAGGCAGGCAGGCAGGCAGGCAGGCAGGCAGGTAGGCAAGCAGGGAGGCAGGCAGGAAGGCAGGCAGGCAGGCAGAGGCAGGGAGGGAGGAAGAGAGGCAGGCAGGCAGGCAGAGGCAGGGAGGGAGGAAGAGAGGCAGGCAGGCAGGCAGAGGCAGGGAGGGAGGAAGAGAGGCAGGCAGGGAGGCAGGCAGGCAGGCAGAGGCAGGGAGGGAGGAAGAGAGGCAGGCAGGGAGGCAGGCAGGCAGGCAGAGGCAGGGAGGGAGGAAGAGAGGCAGGCAGGGAGGCAGGCAGGCAGGCAGAGGCAGGGAGGGAGGAAGAGAGGCAGGCAGGGAGGCAGGCAGGCAGGCAGAGGCAGGGAGGGAGGCAGGCAGAGGCAGGCAGGGAGGCAGGCAGGCAGGCAGAGGCAGGGAGGCAGGCAGGCAGGCAGGCAGGGAGGGAGGGAGGCAGGCAGGCAGGCAGGCAGGCAGGCAGGCAGGCAGGCAGGCAGGCAGGCAGGCAGGCAGGCAGGGAGGGAGGCAGGCAGGGAGGGAGGCAGGCAGGCAGGCAGGCAGAGGCAGGGAGGGAGGAAGAGAGGCAGGCAGGGAGGCAGGCAGGCAGGGAGGCAGGGAGGGAGGAAGAGAGGCAGGCAACTAGTAAGAGGCGACAAAGCCCTAGTAAGAGGCAGGTGGGGCCACATTACCTGGCGGAGTCTATGGAGGCTGCCCTGCGTGTGGTGGTGGTGGTGGTGGCGGGCGTGGCGTGGGGGGGACCTAGGTTGTGGGTGAGCAGGTTGCGGAGTCTGGTGGACACGGCCTCTCCTTCCCGCACCAGCAGCTCCAAGTCGCTGTCATGGCGACCCACGCTCCCACTCAGCCGCTGAAATGTCAACACCAACACGTTAATACACGCCACTACACATTGCGTGCACCACACACACACACACACACACACACACACACACACACACACACACACACACACACACACACACACAAGTGTGTGTGGAGTCACAAGTGGAGTCCCGCAGGGGTCAGTCCTTGGACCTATACTGTTTCTGGTATATGTAAATGATCTCCCAGAGGGTATAGATTCGTTCCTCTCAATGTTTGCCGACGATGCAAAAATTATGAGGAGGATTGAAACAGAGGATGATAGTAGGAGGCTACAAGATGACCTGGATAGACTGAGTGAATGGTCCAACAAATGGCTGTTGAAGTTCAACCCGAGTAAATGCAAAGTAATGAAACTAGGCAGTGGAAACAGGAGGCCAGGCACAGGATACAGAATAGGAGATGAAGTACTTAATGAAACAGACAGAGAGAAAGATCTAGGAGTTGATATCACACCAAACCAATTATTACCTAACCTATACCTATAATAGGTTAAGTAACAATTGTAATTACGAAGCTATAAGATGCTTATTTTAACATACTAAGTAGGTTAGGTAAGGTCGGTGTTTTCTATGAAGCTTTTCAAGGGAAACTATTATGTTTAGTATGTCACCTATGCACGCAACTAATAAGTCAATATTGACTTATTAAATTTGCGAGAACGGGTTGGATCATCTGCTCTTAAGTTATCTTAGGGGAGGTAGGTTGAGTCACCAGATGTGATCGTCAAGGTCAAAGGTCACACAGGTCAAGAACACGGGGCTCGGTCACAATAACGTATTATATCTATGTGACAATCATTGGAGCAGGGCGGGGGTTCGAACCAGCGTCCTGGTGGTGCACAAATTAGTGCCTCTTTATGACACAAGACATTCCAATGAGATAATTATGAGCGTTGTTAACTTGTAATTATCCCTGATGGACCGTGACCCTCGCCCCTCCTCCTCCCCCCCTACCCACACACACACACACACACACACACACACACCCCCCAAAAACACACATCTTCGCCCCCTACCCCCCCCCCCCCCAAACACACCCTCCCCCCCAAACACACGTCTTCGCCCCGTACCCCCCCCCCCTCCTCTCCCCCAAACACACATCTTCGCCCCCTACCCCCCCCTCCACACACACGTGCAATCACAACCTCCAAACATGATAACCAAGCCGATGACAAACACGCCAGCAACAACAGAGGACAGTATTGACCAGATACCGTTCGTGACCCAACATGACCATCACCACCACAGGATCAAGAGAGGCACTCCTCGTGCACTACAGAAGAAGGTGCCACCTAGCCTCTATAGTCAACCAATCGGGTGGTGATTGTAACCATGATATATATGTGCTTCAGCCTACAGTTTAGACCTATTGTCTTACGTATGACCCTCTGTCCTGCGTGACAGTGAATACCACCATTATCCTCACTTTAATAAGACGATCAAAATCCTCAGATTAAGCAAAATTGTAATTAATTATGTCAATAAAGATGTTAATAATAAGTCGGATGGGGGACAAAATGGCGCGCTAAGCGACCTCTGGGAGCCTGGGAGCGCCGCCCCCAGCGCCGCGCCAGCAGCCGACCCCCAAGTGTTTACGTGTGACGCCACAAGGTGTCGGCAAGAGCCACTGTGCGCCCGTTTGGGCGGCTAGCGGTCAACACGCCCACACACACATCAGGGCTCTGCTTGATGGGGTTCTGGGAGGTCTTCTACTTCCCCAAGCCCGGCCCGAGGTTGACTTGTGAGAGTTTGGTCCACCAGGCTGTTGCTTGGAGCGGCCCGCAGGCCCACTCCGGCTCGGAAATACTCTCAACAAATCCCTATAAAGATGGCACAACACCGCTATAAAGAAGGCACAACACCGCTATAAAGAAGGCACAACACCGCTATAAAGAAGGCACAACACCGCTATAAAGAAGGCACAACACCGCTATAAAGAAGGCACAACACCGCTATAAAGAAGGCACAACACCGCTATAAAGAAGGCACAACACCGCTATAAAGAAGGCACAACACCGCTATAAAGAAGGCACAACATCGCTATAAAGATGGCACAACACCGCTATAAAGATGGCACAACACCGCTATAAAGAAGGCACAACACCGCTATAAAGAAGGCACAACACCGCTATAAAGAAGGCACAACACCGCTATAAAGAAGGCACAACATCGCTATAAAGATGGCACAACACCGCTATAAAGAAGGCACAACACCGCTATAAAGAAGGCACAACATCGCTATAAAGAAGGCACAACATCGCTATAAAGATGGCACAACACCGCTATAAAGAAGGCACAACACCGCTATAAAGAAGGCACAACACCGCTATAAAGAAGGCACAACACTGCTATAAAGAAGGCACAACACCGCTATAAAGAAGGCACAACACCGCTATAAAGAAGGCACAACATCGCTATAAAGAAGGCACAACATCGCTATAAAGAAGGCACAACATCGCTATAAAGAAGGCACAACACCGCTATAAAGAAGGCACAACACCGCTATAAAGAAGGCACAACACCGCTATAAAGAAGGCATATACCTACTATATAGATGCCACGCCTGTGACAGGTAAAAAACATGCTTTTTTGAAAACCAGCGCCATGTGTTGCACGTAAAAGCAACACACGCTATACTAAATATGTCACGATTCCATTTCAGTGTTTCTGATTGCATTGATAAATAGAATTTTCATAGCTTTCTATTTATTTTCACTTTAATTTAATTATTTTGTGTGACATTGCATTGGAATTGAGCTGTGTTGTTTACCATACCGTTCATTTCGTGAGTATAGTTTATTTTTTTATTTTTTCATTTCGCCTTTTTAACTGTTCTTCTTATTTTTAAGTGAAGGGAACATCAGATCATTTGATGTTCCCATTTTTCTGATGGGAACATCAGATCATTTGGGAACACATCGGATGAGGGAGTGGGGAATGGTGGGGAGGACGAGGGAGGAGTGGGGGATGGTGGGGACGAAGGGGGCACAGGGGAGTGGGGAAATGGTTGAGAGGACGGGGAAGGGAGGACGAGGGGACGGGGCAGGGGGGGGAACGGTTGAGAGGACAGGGTAAGGGGGAATGGGAAATGGGGTGGGTGGGGGGGGATTTATTTTTCGCAACATATACATATTACGTAGAAAAAAAGCACTAGCAAAAAGCAGTGTGTCAAGGACTGCGTCAAACAAGCGCAGGACACCGTAGAGAGCGACACAGGTGATCACATATATCAGAGGGAAGACTGCAGACAACTGCACTACACTGAGCAACAAAGACCTCTCACCACAGCCGCACAAGACGACGGTCAGGTCAGGACATGTTCCGGGAACAGTGTATCCCCCAACACTCAAATTATCTCCCACACGCCAAGTGTGTAGCATTTTCTTATTTATTTATATATACTAGAGTCCTTACATTCTTGTACAGCCACTAGCACGCATAGCGTTTCTGGCAGGTCCTTAATCCTCATTTTTCCCCGGAATACGACCCGCCAAATAGTCAACCCGTCCTCGACTCAAGTCCATTACATCCAGCGGTCGACCCCACAGACGCATTCATAAATTTTAACATGCTGTTCATTCAAAACGGGAATTTTCTCAAATATAAATTAATATTATAATATATTAGCATATTGTGCATATATAGGCATAGGTTAGGTTAGGTGTTTAGGTTCTGTTGGCGATTATTTGTATTTGTAGTACGTGGGTGAAGCATTTACAGCGTTGTGGTTCGAACAAAATTCGTCAGTGAAGCACTTGTTCCGGAAGTGTTCGGACTTTATCAGTTGTGAGTCGTGTGTAAACCGTTTTTCATTCATAAACAGCTGGGGGTTTGGCGGGTGAATGGAATGGACTTTGGATCTTCGGGCCAGATTCACGAAAGCACTTACGAACCTGTACATCTTTTCTCAATCTTTGGCGGCTTTGTTTACAATTATTAAACAGTTAATGTGCTCCGAAGCACCAGGAGGCTGTTTATAACAATAACAACAGTTGATTGGCAAGTTTTCATGCTTGTAAACTGTTTAATAAATGTAACCAAAGCCGTCAAAGATTGAGGAAAGATGTACACGTTCGTAAGTGCTTGCGTGAATCTGGCCTCTGGCCGCGCTGCCCAACCTGTCCACTGACTCACTCCTTGATTTAGTCCGACTCATCCGGCCCAGAACATCTTTCTCTGCTTTCATTTCCATAATTATGTTGACTGAAAAAATTCACATTCAGGTCATTCACATTCACGTTTTTCACATTCAAGTCATTCTATACTTCTAACTGAAGTATAGAATCCTTCCGTGTTGTTAGGATTGTTAGAATGGTTGTTAGGTTGTTAGAATGCTTAGCAATTGATTGAATTTACATGAGGTGTAAATTCAATTTACAATTTACATGAGGTGTAGTGATATGGAGCATGTGCGGTCAGTTTTTGTGAGGGTGCAGGAAAATTGTTAAATTACTGCGACAAGATTCCTTCAAATATATTTAATGACATGAGATCACATTAAATACGTGTAATTACGGTGAAAGTTACTCTGGCTCTGAATGACTATGAACGTTCAACACGCAATGTGTTTATATCTCAGCTTTGTCGCCCCATATCCCCCCCCCCCTCCGGGTCCTGGTTGATACCTGGTTGATGGGGTTCTGGGAGTTTTTCTACTCCCCAAGCCCGGCCCGAGGCCAGGCTCGACTTGTGAGAGTTTGGTCCACCAGGCTGTTGCTTAGATCACTAGGCTTGGATGGGTCACCACTACTATACGAATCTACTATGTCTGTATGTACACGCACACACACACGCACGCACGCACACATGTGTGGGCCTGGAAGCCTGGTGGATATCGCGCAGGACTCGTAATTCTGTGGCGCGGGTTCGATTCCCGCACCAGGCAGAAACAAATGGGCAAAGTTTCTTTCACCCTGAATGCCCCCTGTTACCTAGCAGTAAATAGGTACCTGGGAGTTAGTCAGCTGTCACGGGCTGCTTCCTGGTGTGTGTGTATGAAAAAAAGTAGTAGTAGAAACAGTTAATTGACAGTTGAGAGGCGGGCCGAAAAAGCAGAGCTCAACCCCGCAAGCACAACTAGGTGAATACACGCACACACACACACACACACACACGCACGCACGCACACACACACACACACACACACACACACCACACACACACACACACACACACACGGCAAGTCCTGTTTCACAGGATTAATTAAATTCTATGAACTGGCAAAAAAAATCCGGCAAGAAGGAGAGAGGTGGGCAGACTGCATATTTTTGGATTGCCAGAAAGCCTTTGACACAGTAGTTAGTGAAAAAGCTGGAGATGTAGGCAGGAGTGAAAGGGAAGGTACTCCATTGGATAAGGGAGTACCTAAGCAACAGAAGACTGCGAGTCATTGTGAGGGGTGAGGTCTCAGATTGGCGAGACGTCACCAGTGGAGTCCCGCAGGGGTCAGTCCTTGGACCTATACTGTTTCTGGTATATGTAAATGATCTCCCAGAGGGTATAGAATCGTTCCTGTCATTGTTTGCTGATGATGCAAAAATTATGAGGAGGATTAAAACAGAGGAAGATGGTAGGCTACAAGATGACCTAGACAGACTGAATGAATGGTCCAACAAATGGCTATTAAAGTTCAACCCGAGTAAATGCAAGGTAATGAAACTAGGCGGTGGAAACAGGAGGCCAGACACAGGATACAGAATAGAAAATGAAACGGACAGAGAGAAAGATCTGGGGGTTGATATCACACCAACCCTGTCTCCTGCAGCCCACATAAAAATATTAACATCTGCGACGTATGCGAGGCTGGCTAACTTCAGAACTTCCTTCAGGAACTTGTGTAAGGAATCCTTCAGAACCTTGTATACCACATATGTAAGACCAATCCTGGAGTATGCGGCCCCAGCATGGAGCCCGTACCTTGTCAAGCACAAGACGAAGCTGGAAAAAGTTTAAAGGTATGCTACTAGACTAGTCACAGAACTAAGAGGCATGAGTTACGAGGAAAGGCTGCGGAAAATGCACCTTACGACACTGGAAGACAGAAGAGTAAGGGGGAGACATGATCACTACCTACAAAATCCTCAGGGGAATCGACCGGGAAGACAAGGACAAACTGTTTAACATTGGTGGTACGCGAACAAGGGGACACAGGTGGAAACTGAGTACCCAAACCGAGCCTCAGGGACGTTAGAAAGAACTTTTTCAGTGTCAGTAGTTAACAAATGAAATGCATTAGGCAGTGATGTGGTGGAGGCTGACTCCATACAAGTTTCAACTGTAGATATGACAGAGCCCAGTAGGCTCAGGAATCTGTATACCAGTTGATTGACAGTTGAGAAGCGGGACCAAAGAGCCAGAGCTCAACCCCCGCATGAACAACTAGGCGAATACAACTAAGTGAGTACACACACATACACGACGTCCTTGGCTATTTAGCTTGCCTAAGAAATCATTAATTCACATTAGCTTATAGTGTAGGCAAGCGAGAGATGGGGGAGGGGTTGGTAGGGTAAGAGAGGGGGGAGGGGTACGGAGGGAGGGGGAAGGGGTACGAAGGGAGGGGGAAGGGGTACGAAGGGAGGGGGAGGGGTAAGGAGCTAGGGAAGGGGTCGGCCAACGAGGTCTTGCCCCTTACAATCTCTCTCTCTTCCTCCCCTTCCCTTCATCACAGCCATCGATCTCCCTCTCCCACCACCCTGCCCTCTCTTACCCTCTTACTAAACCTCACCTCACTGGAGGGGAGGCAGGGAGAGACATGATGACGACATAGAAGGTACTCTTGGAATAGACTGGGCCAAGACTGGCGACACTGTACGGAGCGCAAGGAGCAGACCCACCTAGGACTAGATGCACACACGAGATGATCAAGGGAGGGAGAGCCGGACCCAGGAGTTAAAGCTCGATCCTAGCAGGCACAAATATGCAAGCATGGATAGCTGAACACACGCACACTGGTTGACTGAGAGTTGAAAGGCGGGACCAAAGAACTAAAGCTCAACGCCCGCAAGCACAACTAGGTGAGTACACACACACACACATACACGCGCGTGTGTACTAGTGGTCATTCTCCCAGGACACACGCTTGAGTGAGCGCCTCTGCTCACTCCAGTCTAAATATAGTGATGCGACACAACGCTTCCCGCTGAGGGAGGGAGGCAGGGAGGCAGGGAGGCAGGCAGGGAGGCAGGCAGGCAGGCAGGCAGGCAGGCAGGCAGGCAGGCAGGCAGGCAGGCAGGCAGGCAGGCAGGCAGGCAGGCAGGCAAGTAACCACAAGAAAACAAAAGACAAACCTTAGCGTTTTCGCGTATCACCACAGTCTTGTACATCACATCTTTATACTCAAGCTCTACGCACTTACCATCGCCATATTCACACCTCAATAAAATACAACATACCTGAAGTACTTTTGTTTTGAAGTAGAGGTAAAATAACATGAAGTTAATGGTGCTGTTTACACACGGGGCTTAAAGCTGTGGATTCACCACCACCTATTGCGATATCTTCCCCAGGCCTGGGGTAGCAGTGACCAGGGCCAGGGGTAGCAGTGACCAGGGCATGGGGTACCAGTGACCAGGGCCTGGGGTAGCAGTGACCAGGGCTTGGGGTAGCAGTGACCAGGGCCAGGGGTAGCAGTGACCAGGGCCAGGGGTAGCAGTGACCAGGGCCTGGGCTAGCAGTGACCAGGGCCTGGGGTAGCAGTGACCAGGGCCTGGGGTAGCAGTGACCAGGGCCAGGGGTAGCAGTGACCAGGGCCTGGGGTAGCAGTGACCAGGGCCTGGGGTAGCAGTGACCAGGGCCTGGGGTAGCAGTGACCAGGGCCTGGGGTAGCAGTGACCAGGGCCAGGGTAGCAGTGACCAGGGCCTGGGGTAGCAGTGACCAGGGCTTGGGGTAGCAGTGACCAGGGCTTGGGGTAGCAGTGACCAGGGCCTGGGGTAGCAGTGACCAGGGCCAGGGGTAGCAGTGACCAGGGCCAGGGGTAGCAGTGACCAGGGCTTGGGGTAGCAGTGACCAGGGCCTGGGGTAGCAGTGACCAGGGCCTGGGGTAGCAGTGACCAGGGCCTGGGGTAGCAGTGACCAGGGCCAGGGGTAGCAGTGACCAGGGCCTGGGGTAGCAGTGACCAGGGCCAGGGGTAGCAGTGACCAGGGCCTGGGGTAGCAGTGTCCAGGGCCTCGGGTACCAGTGACCAGGGCCTGGGGTAGCAGTGACCAGGGCCTGGGGTAGCAGTGACCAGGGCCTGGGGTAGCAGTGACCAGGGCCTGGGGTAGCAGTGACCAGGGCCTGGGGTAGCAGTAACCAGGAATTTGGAAGCATTCGTGTCAAGAAACAAAAATAGTGCACCCGCGACGGCAACACTAACCCAAGATAAACACAGCTGATTGGCTGGTACCTAAACCTTCCCGGCTCACAGTAACAAAGCAACTGGCCAGATCAGTTGATTGGTGGGCGAGTGGCATGCTACGGTAGAGACCAGGGGGCCAGATTCACGAAGCAGTTACGCAAGCACTTACGAACCTGGGGCCAGATTCACGAAGCAGTTACGCAAGCACTTACGAACCTGGGGCCAGATTCACGAAGCAGTTACGCAAGCACTTACGAACCTGGGGCCAGATTCACGAAGCAGTTACTCAAGCGCACTTACGAACCTGGGGCCAGATTCACGAAGCAGTTACGCAAGCACTTACGAACCTGGGGCCAGATTCACGAAGCAGTTACGCAAGCACTTACGAACCTGGGGCCAGATTCACGAAGCAGTTACGCAAGCACTTACGAACTTGGGGCCAGATTCACGAAGCAGTTACGCAAGCACTTACGAACATGTACATTTTTCCTCAATCTTTGACGGCTTTGATTACATTTATTAAACAGTTTACAAGCATGAAAACTTCCAATTCAACTGTTGCTATTGTTATAAACAGCCTCCGGGTGCTTCGGAGCTCATTAACTGTTTAATAATTGTAAACACAGCCGCCAAAGATTGAGAAAAGATGTACAAGTTCGTAAGTGGTTGCGTAAGTGCTTTCGTGAATCTGGCCCCTGCCTGTGACTACGCTAAGAGTAGTGACACTATCTTATCTTCCCACGGGGGAGAATGTATCATTATAAACGGTTTTATTAAATATATTCACAGATACATGTAGTCAGTTCACACAGGAAGTGTGGTGGAGCCCGGCTGTCCGTCCTAGACAATAGCAAAGTGATAATGTTCGCGTGTTGGTCAGGTCGTGTCACGTGACCTTGTTGCCCTCTGCTTAAGCTGGCAATTGCAGACGGTTGCCCAGGTGCTATCAAACATGCCGCTGGCTATTTGTGATAGCAAGATAACCGGCGCTTAACTCCCCCGAGCCCTCTTTATATACTCTAGCAGTTGTACATTGTGAGATAGAGCCCCCCCCCCCTCGGCTCTAACAGTGAGGATCCAGCTCTGTAGAGCAGTTACAACACTACCCGTCTACAGGCCTGTGAGAGGAGGGGGGAAGGGAGCTGGACTATCAGCTGTATCCCCCCCCATCCACCTCTAATCAACTTACACGTGAGTACAAGTTGATTACAGTTTGATAGCAAGGTGATGTATCCTGTGTTTCCTACATTATTTTTTTTTTTTTTTTTTTTTTTGAGATATATACAAGAGTTGTTACATTCTTGTACAGCCACTAGTACGCGTAGCGTTTCGGGCAAGTCCTTAATCCTATGGTCCCTGGAATACGATCCCCTGCCGCGAAGAATCGTTTTTTCATCCAAGTACACATTTTACTGTTGCGTTAAACAGAGGCTACAGTTAAGGAATTGCGCCCAGTAAATCCTCCCCGGCCAGGATACGAACCCATGACATAGCGCTCGCGGAACGCCAGGCGAGTGTCTTACCACTACACCACGGAGACTGCTTAAATGTTATTAGACTATTATACGTTGTGACCTCTCCAGTCAGCCATATTTGTTCCCATTTCCCTGTGTAGTGACTCAATCTCAATTAACATTGATTACGGTAATGTGAAGGGAATCTAATCGTCCATAAACATATATAACAAATGAACAATCTCTTTAAGTCATTTGAATTATCTTTAACTCTGACCCCACCTAAGATCTTGGATCCAGTTCTTGACTGATGAGAGCTAGAGTGATGAGCATTCTGAACATTACCGAGAGACTTGGTAACTGACTTTATACTTTACATGGTTAGTTCCTTAACTGATAACGTTGATTTTAATAACTCTTAAACAGAGACGAGTTCCATTCCCTCATTTGGTAAACTCATTCATCGATGGTAGCAGCTCTACCTTCTATCTACTTTGATCAATCCTCTATGTAATCTACTCTCATTCTACCCTTCTTCTACCCCTCTCTCTCTCTCTCTCTCTCTCTCTCTCTCTCTCTCTCTCTCTCTCTCTCTCTCTCTCTCTCTCTCTCTCTCTCTTGCTAATTCTACCCTACATCCCATTTTCTCTTTACAATCTTTCCTTTCACCCGACTACTCTTTCCCCATTCCTAGTTCTCTCCCTTTCTCTATTTTATATTCGTTACAATGGTGGCAGGGGAGGTGGGTGTTGCCACAGGGGAGGTGGGTGTTGCCACAGGGGAGGCTGGTGTTGCCACAGGGGAGGCTGGTGTTGCCACAGGGGAGGCGGGTGTTCCCACAGGGGAGGCTGGTGTTGCCACAGGGGAGGCAGGTGTTGCCACAGGGGAGGCAGGTGTTGCCACAGGGGAGGTGGGTGTTGCCACAGGGGAGGCAGGTGTTGCCACAGGGGAGGCAGGTGTTGCCACAGGGGAGGTGGGTGTTGCCACAGGGGAGGTGGGTGTTGCCACGGGGAGGTGGGTGTTGCCACAGGGAGGCTGGTGTTGCCACAGGGGAGGTGGGTGTTGCCACAGGGGAGCTGGTGTTGCCACAGGG